GAAAGAAGGAAAGGAAAAAGGAAAGGAAATGGAAAAGAAGGAAAGGAAAAAGGAAAGGAAATGGGAAAGAAGAAAAGGAAAGAAGAAAGGAAAGGAAATGAAAAAGAAGGAAAGGGAAAGGAAAGGAAAGGAGAAAGGAAGGGAGAAGAGAAAGGAAAGGAAATGGAAAAGAAAGAAAGGAAAAGAGAAAGGAAAAGAGAAATAAAAGGAAAAAGAAAAGGAAAGAAAGATAGAAGAAGGACAGAAAGGGAAAGGAAAGAGTGGAATGGATTGGTACTGCTCAAAAATCAAGTCTCAAGATCCCGTGGACTGCTTTGGCTCAGGCAGTCCAACTCCACTCTGCTTCCCTCTTTCCGCAAAGCGAAGGGATCGCAGAAAGACTGCCGAGCCCAGAACGGGGCTTCAGATGACGCAATGCCTGAGAAACCCCAGATGTGCAGAGAATCGCAGGCTACAATCAGCGAATCAATTTTCCCAAGATCCAACGAAGCCCCAGAGGACCAATGGGAATTCTCCCTTCTGCAGCGTCATTGGTCTCCGGGCAAAGTCTTTCTTGATTTCACCCATCACCAGATGGAGGAGAGCATTTGGTGCAGAGAAGGGAGGGAGGGGGATATTTTCAGTCATATTTTAAGACATTAAAAAACACTGCGCGGCAGTTTAAAACTTCTGTGCGGTGTTTTCTTTTTACGTATGCGGCCGCGCAGCTTAGAGGAAACATTGATGCTCGGAGCGCGGCAGCAGTGGCGCCCTAGCCCTGCAGGGAGAGGCGCTCATGCAACCCCCCCTCTCCAGCCGGGCAGAGCTCCATGCATTGACCTAGGGGGTATCCCGAATGTGCCAAGCTGTGGTAGCTGGGGGGCGGGCAGAGCGCCACATGGCTTGGCGCCTTAGGGATACCCCCTAGGTCAATGAATGGCGCTCTGCCCAGCTGGAGAGGGGGTTTGCCAGGCAGCTGCTTGTGAGCATGGTCACCTCATGGCTGCTTCGCACCTGAGGCTGTGCCTGGCTCTTCGGTAGCCTGCTTGCAAGGGAACAGCCGCCCGGCAACTCCCCCCTCAGGCCAGGCAGAACACCACTCCCCAACCTAGCGTTATCATGAAGGCATCAAGCAACGTGAGCGCCTTTCCCCCCGGCTTGGAGCCTTTGGGATACCGCTAGGTCGATGAATGGGGCTCTGCCTGGCCAGATGGGGGTGGTTGTCCAGGGGGATTGTTTTCGGGGTTGGGCTTATATTTTTGCTCATGCGAAAAATGTGGCAAGGTGTTAGTTTTCGGAAAGGTCGTATTTTCGGGGAAACATGGTAGCTATTTTCAGTGAATGATTAATATACTAATAATAGAGCAGAGTAGGCAGTTTGATGACTCGAAAGCATCATGATAGGTTGCATACTGCAAATGTCAGAACTATGTGAGTTTAAATGTTGATTAAACAAAAATAACTTTCCATTTTAAACAGCCTCCTTATTCATACTCTTGTTCAGTTCAGCAGAACAAAATTCTTTATAGTGTTTCAGTGCTTAAAACATCTTCACCAAGTGTCAATTGTTCATAAATATAAACTTTATCCCTGCCAAATAATATAACAGACAAATTCTGCTCTCTGGAAGAGAAACTATAATTATGTTACATACATACATACATATAATTTCTATACAGATTAATTCCTCACATGTTCTGAATTAACAGAAGTAGTTCCTGTGTTATAATCATTCATTGATTGGAAGAGATTCTGATTCTGCAAACTATTAGGGAATTAAAAAGTCAAAGTTTTATTCTGATAAGAATAAAGCTTTGGTTTCTTAAATTAATTTCCTAATAAATCTTTCTCAAGAACCCACTTTGGAAATTCATTACAACAGTAGTTCTCAACCTTTTCTTCACCACAAACCCACTTTCAATATCTTTTGTGGCCATGGACCAGGGGTGTCAAACTGGCGGCCCACAAGCCGGATGCATCACACACAGGCCACGCCTACCCCAGCTCCGTGAATGGGGAAAATGTCGTGAAATGTCACGTGATGGCAACGTGACACAGTGAGCTTTACACCCGTGTCATGGACCATCAAGACTTAACTCAAGATTTAAAGCGCAACATTTCTTCCAAGCCTTCACGGACCACCTGTGACATTGCAGCCCCCCTCCGCAGGGGTCCGTAGACCACAGATTGAAAACCACTGCATCATAATATTTCCCTTGCTGCAGTTCCACAATTAAATTACTCATTATTCCAATTGCAATTTTAAACAGGATTAGAGTATACATTTTAAGTATGATTTCAAATAATGCAAAACATCCTGTCTGATTTAAAAAGCAGCTTGCAAAATTAACCACAAGCAAATAGTCAATTCTTGTATCAAAGAAATTTAGAAATTAAAAAAAAAATCTCCCTTCTTATCTGAACTCCCCCATTTTGGTTTTTCCTTGTTGCTCCTTTTTTAAAATTCTTTTTTGTCTTTTCTTTTTTGTATATATTTTTTGAAATTTAAATAATTTGGGGGAAAAAATAATCAACGAAACAAGATGTACAATCTGAAATAATTAACATAGGCCAATGTTATGCCATCCACATAATGTATCTACCCTATTTTCCCCAAAATAAGACCTCCCCAGATAATAAGTCCAATTGGACTTTTGAGCACATGCGCTAAAATAAGTTGTCCCCAAAAATATTGCAACACACAGCAGCCAAGAGGTGACCACGCTCACCACTTCCTGCACCTCAAAAATAATACCTCCCCAAAAATAAGGCCAAGTGGTTATTTGGGGGGGGGGTTCAAAAGAAAATAAGTTCCCGTCTTATTTTTGGAGAAAGACGGGTATGTAAATCTTAAAGAATTTTGTTAAAAAATAATTAGTGTTTGAAACAAAAGAAAAGAAAATCACAATGAAAACTATTAATGGGCATGCCATTAATCTATTCCACAGCTTGGAGAAAAGCCAAGTTTTTAAAGAACAACTAAAAGGTTTCAAGATCTGATCTACAATATTATATCTGATATAAATAGAAGCTTAAAATAACTGTAGATACATGTCCACTAGAATTTGGAGTACAATAGCCTCATGTATAATCTGAGCTAAGAGAAAAGAAACAAGGGACTTTCATAGAAGAGCACAATTCAAAATGTTTGCATTAAGAGTTAGAACTTTGCCAACAAACATTTATTTACACCCATTATTCAGACATGACAGAAAAATCAATACAGTATGACGATCAGAACAGAATCCTGAATTTGATGACAAATCAAGCGTCTAAATAACAAAGTTACTGATATAATTCTGCCTACCCATTAAAGCCAGTAACTATTTTCAGAATCCGTTCTTTCATCTCCTCAAAGGGAATATATTCCACATTAGGGTTAGGAGGGCCTCTTGGCTCAGGAGCAGAAGTTCTGAAGTCATCCATCACTTTCTCCAATTTGAAAATAAAATATCCCTTGAATTGAGACCACTGAATCCTAAAAAAAAAGAAATATACAATACGTACTTAACATTAAAAATAAAGTGTTAAGCATATATTATATTAAAACAGTAAAGCAAGTTTAGCATTTTCAATTTTTTGGGAAAGCCGGAAAAAAACTGAGTAAATGCAAAATATGCTGTTTTTTAAAACCAAAGTGAGTAGTCCTTGACCTATGACCATTTGTTTGGTTACCATTCAAAAGTATGACGGCCCTGAATTGGTGGTTATGACTGGTAGTCAAGCATTCTGGCTGTCAAACACTTCTGTAGCCATGTGATCAAAATCTGAGCACTTGTTAAGTAGTTTGTACGTATAAACAACTGCAATACCCCATGATCATCATTTGAAGCCTTCCCTACTGGCTTTCTCAGAAAATGAATGGGAAAGCAGGGAAGGTTGTAAGTTACTGGGTTTAATAATCATATAGTTCCAGATGTAAAGAGTAAAGTTCTACATTTAGGCAAGAAAAACGAAATGCACAGGTACAGTATAGGTGGTATCTTGCTCAATAGTAGTAACTGTGAGAGGGATCTTCGAGTCCTAGTGGACAACCATTTAAATATGAGCCAACAGTGTTCAACAGCTGCCAAAAAAGCCAATGCAGTTCTAGGCTGCATAAATAGAGGGATAGAATCAACATCATGTGAAGTGTTAATACCACTTTATAGATGCTGGAATTTGGAAACAAAAAAACTGAAAA